GCATCTACCTTGGTAGCCAGTCTGGGTATCAGAGGCCGGCGGGAACCATTTGAGATTTGCATGTTTGGCACGTGGCCCTGATGCGCTGGCTCGTAACGACGCAGCTACCCCCTGCTTATCCCACTCTCACCTTTCCACTCCCATCCCCTCCCCTTCATATTCCAACCGTGAAGCGGCCGTCTGGCAGCGGCGAGGCATGTGGAAGCCCCGCCGTGCCGCTACCAGGCCTGAGCAAATTTGATTCGCATCCCAGGCGACGTGCCTGGCCAGGTGAGTGGTGCGTCCTCGTGGAGGGGAGCGGAGAGACACTGGAAAGATGCACGACATGCATACGCAAGCAGGCACGACACAGCTCTTGCGCTTTCTGCGTGCATTTCAGCCGACGGGTGAAATCTATGGACCACTCCATTCCGCGGTTGCGTATACCACCTCAGGGGGGCCTGAGTGATCTAGAGATCTCCTCCACATCGTCGGTCCCGTGGGCGCGTGGAAAAATAGTCCTATCATGTCTGCATGCGTGATCATGGTCGCGAGCGTTAGCGTGACGCGAGTACTGTGCGCCACCACTCTCGCGGCTTGCCTCCAGCTCTCAAATTGCGCCCAAGGTCGAAGGCAGCAGCCAAGTGACAGTAAAGTCAATCAACATCTGGGTGCACCTTGAGCTGAGCTGCGCCGAAGGGAGGGAGGGAGGGGTGCCATGCGCTGGAGCCTTCCTGCTGCCGCCGGTGCAACCACCGCTATCTGCTGTTCTCCTCCTCCTCCTCGTGCCCATCTCAGGGGCTATGTTGGGGGCGGTAGGCTCAGGGCGGGTGCATCGACCTCCAATCGCCCATTGATTGCCGATAGGGGCTCGATGGCCCACCCCGTCCAGGAGCATACGGTCTCGCTATCGGGGCCCTATCACCGCGACCAATGTGATGGACGTGAGAGAAAGCATCGGAGGCCGTCTGTATTGGTTATTGGGGCCCGTTTGGGCAGTCTTAGAGCACTCTGAAGCAATCTTGAGGCTACGTTGAGCTGCAACTTCGAACATGCGAAACGTAGCACGGGTAGGAGTTAAGTTTGGCTTAGTTGGTTGTCTGTGGCTTTTCCCAGAGCTTCTTGGAACCTCTCTTGGAGGCTCTTGCTGTGGGCCTCCTGGGGTCCCGTGGGGGCTCTTCGAACTTCTCGAAACCTTCATGTGCTTTTGGGGGCGCTTCTTGGACGACTTGATAGAGGATCTTACTGTCGTTTTGGATGGGTTCTGCTTCTCGGAGACTCCCGAGACAAACCTCTGGATCGCACAGGAAAGTCAAGGAACCCTTGCAAGCTAGGGGTGGGGGCCTTTGAGAATCCCACAGCCCCTCGAGCACTCCCAACTGTATGAGCATATTGGGCACTCCACCACTTGCTCAAGGCACGGTGGCGGATTTCAGTACCGAGATATGTCACAATCAATAGATTGTCTAGCCCATCACCTACCGATGCCGAATGTTCGTCAGTGTGGTCGCACTTTGGATGCGTCAGCAATGTCGTGCCAGCTACGTGGTGCAAGATATGCGTTGCAAGCTATGCGGTGCGAGCTACGTAGTGCAATGCATGTGGTGTAAGCTGTTTGGCGCCATCGACGTGGTGCAAGCTGTGTGACGCAAATAATGTCGCGCAAACATTGTGGCGTAACATATGTGGTGCAAGCTATGTGGTGGAAGCTGCGACGTGTATGCTGGGTAATGGAAGAGATATGATGCAGACTACACGGTGTACGGCATGTTGTGCAAACTATGTTGTGGAAGTTATGTGTTGAAAGTTGGGTGGTGCAAGCTACGCGATGCAAGTTGAGTGGTGCCAGGAAGATATCACAACCTACGTGTTGCAAGCCATGCTGCTAAAGCTATGCGGGGCAACATATGTGGTGTAAGATATTTGGTTCAAGGTATGTGGTGCGAGCTATGCGGTGCAAGTTATGTGGTGCCCACGGGCGGGCACTGGGTGAAATCCTCCCAGCACGAGGCGGCGCCCACGGGCGGGCATTGGGCGAACACCCAGAACACCCATCCAATTTCAAGGCATATCTTCTTGGTGCAGGCAATGTTTTTGCACGACTAACCCATTGTGAAGGCCTTACGCCCAGTACCGCCGACCCTAAAGGGGGAGCCCGAGGCGTCTGGGAGACAACGAATCGAAGGGGAAATATTCCCCCAGGGAGGGGCGATCCCCCCACTGGGGGGTCACACACCCTGGGACCCCTCCCGGGATCCCCCCCCACCCCCCTACCCCCCCGCGGGGAAGGGATCAAAGGGAAGGAGCATCCCTTCGACTCGACTACAACGTTGCTCGATTTCTCTCCAGCTGGGACGTTTGAAGAGGAGGGCCCACGGACAGGGACAGGGGGGAGCGGTGACTGCGACAACGACGACAAGGACGACAACTCAAACGGAAAAGCCTTTCACACACGCCGACAGGGTCGGCGGATTTGTCTACCTGTTCGTGGAATTACATTCCGGTTTGCATGTTGAGTTGCACGTTGATTTGTTTTACGGGGCAAGCGCGGGGCAACTCACGGAACAACTCGCGAGACAACCCATTGGACAGCCCAGAGGCCAATCACGGGGCAACCGCGGGACAACCGGAGAACAACTCACAGGACAACGCACAGAACAACCACAGGATAATCACGGGCAAACCCTCGAAGCAATTACGGGGTACTCTTCGGGACGACCGCGGGGTAACCCCTTGCGGCACCGCAAGACGCATGCGTCATAAACATGTTGCCCGATTTGCGCCATGATCTACGGCTGGCACATCATCACTTTCTCGCAACGTCGCCTCGCCTTCACGCGCGAGGCCAACCGAACTCAATGTTCCTGCTTGCATTTATGCGTGATCACCCCTTCTGATATCACACTGTGGCTGCCTCCTCCTCCTCCTTTCTTCTTGTTCTTCTGTTCCTCCTCCTGGTCCAACTTCTGGGCCCTGGGTCCAAGAAACTCACCCCGCGGGAAAAATACATGGCCATCACATGTTTTTGTGGAGGTGTGTGGACACGCACCAGGGCCAAGGCTGCAGGCTACAACAGCGACGGCAAGCGCCCGCTGTGCGGCGAGCCCGACACTGTGAAGCATCGCCGTTGGGGATACCAGCATGCTGACGCTGTACAGGCGCGTGAGCAAGCTGCGGCAGATCACCCCGAGTGGTTGAGGGAGGCTTTCGACAGTGATGACCGCGCATGCTGGGACGAGCTCAAGTGGGATCATCCTGGGACCAACCTCCCTCCTCCAAGTAACGACCCCAATCCTGTTTTGTACGACCCCCTCGGTAATGAAATCCCCTGGGATTCCTTTGATTTGAAAGGCCTCGACATTTGTATGGATGGGTCTTGCCCGCGACACGTCATAAGAGACTTGTCTCGAGCTGCGTATGCGTGGGTTTTCCTGGACAGCCCAGGCAATGTTGTGGCCTGTGCTAAAAGAATGGTGTGGGATGTGCTGCAGCAGACGCCGCAGGCAGCAGAGCATCAGGCTATGGCGGTAGTCTCCATTTTTGTTGAGTACAGCGGAGATCGATATTCTGACTGTGCTACAGTCACCAGGCTCTGTAATACCGACCCGTGCCACCAGCAGTCCAGAAAACATAGGTACGGGGGTATGAGAAGAGGTGCCTTACCCTACGAGGAGAAGGACCACTTGTTTCAAATTATACACACACCCGCCAATAGGTCCCAAGAGGTCCTCGACAGCCTCCCTGGGCCCCAGAGGAGAATCGGCGTAGGTAACCAGCTGGCCGGCTCATTAGCTAAGCAAGCCCTTCTCCTCCACCCTCAACCTTCCGATGAACAGTGGAAGCACGTTAGCGATGGGTTGGATAAGTTAGCGTTTGCGGCCCGAGTCGCGGCCAAAGTGTTGTGTATTTTTCCTTCGGAGCGCCTCGAAGGGAACTCACTGGGGCCTAGATGTAAGTTTCTAAAGTCTGGAGGGTGGCACCAGTTGGGAGCATTTGGACGATAACTGTGCCAGGTTCCTGCGGTGTCTAATTTTTTCGCGGGACCCAGAATCTCGCCCAATGCTGGGTTGCAAAGGACCCAGCAAAACGTGGCAAGGTGTGCTAGATTTTAGTTCGGGCCACACGTTGGCCCAAACTATCGCCATGCGTCGCGACAAGAGGTTGAGCCTATTTTTTTCCGCGCGACGTGCAGGGCCTACTCTGCACAGCGGATCTTCAAGCTCGGTCAAGAATGTCATGGACGCAAGCTCGCGGGCGCCAAGACAACCCTGCCGAGAATTGTGTCGGGGTTGTATCCTCATTGCAGGAACGAGGATGGTCGTGTTTCGGGCTCCTCACGGCGAGGAGTCAACTACCTGTGCTATGCTGCCCCCCCCCCGCCCGACGCGACATCGGCAGCTGGCCTCGAGGGCTTGGTGTCGACTCCTGGAACGCGCGCGTTGTTCGCGCGTGTCAAGGCCAGAGAGGCAGCAGCAAAGGCTGCAAGCAGCACAGACTAACGTTGTGTGCCCTCGGTCACGCCTCAGGGCAAGCAGAGGGAGAAAACTGTTCCCCTCCTCGCCCTCATCTGAAGCCGTTTTGGCCAAAGTAAACCATCTCCGCGTGGCAGCTGGCCAGGACTGCCTGGGGGGCGACGCGCGGCAGCCAAAACCATGGGCGCCCTCCCCGTTCGCATTCCACAATCTGCGATCGCTATTACACCTCTGGCCGCTGAACACGGGCACTTCCTGTCACTGTACCTCTCGGCGCTCTCCTTTGCACCCGAAGCTTTCGGGGCGCTTCCGCTCGGGCCCGCCGTGCTCAGCACCGTCGCAAAGAAAACAAACGGCGGCGTCGTCGACGAGACAGAGAACATTCACCGTCTTCATCAAGTGGTCGGAGCGCAAGCAGTTCAGCCACTACACCGGGGCCCGCCCCTCGTCGGGGCGCAAGCGCTGCTGCTGCGCACGCTTGCGGCCATCGGGGCTATGGCGCTGAAGGTATTGCGTCGCCCGGGCCCGCGGAGATAGCGCGCGCGGCGGATGGTCCGGCCGCGGCGCCTGCATTTCCTGATCGCGAGCCTCGCGGACCACGTGCGGATGGATGGCCCGTTCCTCCGGCTACAGCTTTTCCTCGATGCGCCGCTGACCCTCTCCAGTGCGCCGCTGATCCGTAGAGGAATGGCCCCGCCAGTGGCGTGCGTCAGGGCTTTCGTCCGCCTGGCCCCATGTCTGCGGACGGAATCGAGGCAGCCACCAGCAACGCCTTCGCCACCCAGATGGAGGCTGTCCGCGCGGAGGTCAGCGGCATCATGGGTTCCGCGCGCAATGACATGCGCGACGCGATTGTTGGGCGTCTGCGCCCTCGCGCCGCCCGCTTGGATCAGCGCGGCATCGATGTTCGTCAGGTTGAGGATCGGACGACCTCATTGGAGACGCAGAAGGGCTCTCTTCTTGCGGACATGGACCAGGTGCAGCGGTCATTGGCGCAGGCTCGAGCTGCTGCTGCTGCAGGGGCGGTGGATCTCGCGAGGTTGGCAACGCGCGACAGGCCCCCTGACCCCAGTATCTTCAGGATCGGGCGGGCGCAGCCCGCTTCCGAGGCAGATGTCAAGAATGGTATCTCGCAGTGGATCAACGACACAGGGCCCGCGCATGACCAGTGCAGCATTCACGGGCAGTTGCCTGGCAAGGTCTTCTCCCTAGACCTCCATGATGGCGCCCCTGGCGTTGCTCGCGCGGTTCGATTGGCCCAGCGGCTTCAGCCTCTTGGCGGGAACTGGCGGCGCTTTACGGCTCTCGCTGTCAGCGGCGCCACCGACGCGCCTTGCATCAATCTTGACAAGAGTCCCAAACAGGGGCGATGTGAAATGCAAGGAAGCGACTTCTCGGAATTCGTCAGCGAGCCCAGTTTCATCATGAATGGCGATTCCTACGGGCGCGTGGCCTCGTCAACGCCAATTCGATTCCCATCGTGGAAGTGGCCTTGCAGGGCGCCAGCGAGCCGATCAAGCTTGTGCGGTCGCCAGAGGGAGCAGCTCAGTTCGGAATTATTTTTACGTCGATCCATGACACTTTCCGACCACAGTTCCAGGGTAATCATTTCAGCATGGACGTTATCTTTGCAAGAGATGACCCCCTGTGGGAGTTCAACAGCGGGGCCACCCGCGAGCTTCGCGTTGCTAGCTGGAATGCCAGAGGGCGATGTCGCTATAGTATACAGTCACCAGTTGCGCAGACAGGAAGTTCTCAAATCGAAGCGGCTTCTCTACAACCGTCACGTCGTCCTTCTGCGAGAGGTTCACGGCAGCGAGCTCACTCTCGCGTCGCTTTTGCATGACATTAACATTCAGTACAAACTGTTTTATTCTGATTGCCCTGAGGTGGATGGCGAGGAGGACGCGCGCCCAAGTAAATGGGGGCGTGGCTATCTTCGTTCCCTGGCACTCGCAAGACACCTGATCGCGCCTCGCATCATTTCAGATTCCTGCGTTTAGTCATCAGATTATTGTTCGAGGTCGCATTCAACACTTGCCCGCTCGCTGTTCCCTTGACAGGCAAGGAGGCGCGGCCCCTGCAAGCGCGCAACTATGATATCCGTCGCGAGCAACGGGTGGCCATCCGTTAGCGGTGGCATCGGAACCCTGCTTGGGATCAATATGTTGAACTCTCTCGGCTTGCTCCCTGCGCTGGCGACTTCAACCCGAGCGGCGCAGCCAACCGGACCGGTCTCTCAATTTTCTTCTGCGTCGTCAGGCTCGCTGGTCTCAGGATGGGCGCGCTTCGCAGTCGGGGCCCTCCTGGCGCGACCTCTTCTCCGACGGCGTGCTTGAGCAGGAGGGCCAGCTGCCCGCGCGCCGCAGCAGGTCGACGGGGGCGCCGATCACCATGGCTCGGTTCATCACTGACGGCGACGCGACTATGACGCGACCCAGGGGGGCGCGAGACTTTCTTACTGGGCGCAATCTGATCACGCAATCATTGCGACGAGGATTGCTCCGAAGAAGCCTCGGTCGCATGTCGCGCGCGCCATTCCCAGCGCCACCTCCAAGCAGCCGCGCCTCCGAGAGACCCCTCAGGACAGCGCGGGCTGCGCCGAGCTGGAGGAGCTCGACATCAACTCGAAGTGGCTGCGAGTGAAGGGGCTGATGCACGTGGCCGCCGCTCTCGCTCGCGATGGAATTCAGCAAGGCATTGCGCCGCCTGCTAACGCTGGGGCTACCGGGCTCGAGAGCGCGACGCCCGGGGCCATATCGAGGGCAGTTCGGCGACGAGACGCGCGGCTTGCACGTCGCCTTCGCGGGCCGTCGCAGCTCGCAGAACACTTGGGCATCTCGGGCGACGGCCTCGCCCGCATCATCCGCGCGCCCGAGTTTCGCGAGGCCGCGGTGACAACGAACTGGCAGCGCTTCGAGGGTGTCGCTCAGGAAGCCGCGCGAGCTTCTGGTCGGCGTTCCCGAGCCCATGCCGCTCACGGCGGCAACTCGCCGGCTGGAGTGCGGGGGCAGACGAGCACCCAGCAGACGCCCACGAGGCGGCGCCTCATGCTCAGCGGGCCAAAACGCGCTCAGGGCGGCCGCGAGACCGTCGCGCGCGAACCGACGGCGACGGCGGCGACCAAGGAGCACTGGGGGCCCATCTTCGCCGAGACTACGCGTTCTGAGACCGACATCTCCCAATGCCTGGGCAATCGTGGAGCTCGGATGGCCGCCCTAGCAGCCTCCGGGTCTTGAATGAGGTCTTGGGCGAGGTGGGTGTTGCGGTTGTTTTCTGGCGGGGGCCTTGTCGAAGGTTAAAACCATTCCAGTGTTGCGTTTATCCCCGAACGCGATGATCCTCGAGATCTCGTTGATTGCGTGGTGGATGCCAACGCGCTTCGCCCTCTCGATAGAAGGGCAGCGAGGCCCTCGCCCAGACCGTAAACACACACCTAAGCAGAGCAGCGAAACAACATGTTCACGACATTCAGCAAGGTTTTATCAGCGGTGGGAAGTTTGATTCTTGCGTTATTAACGTTGGTGCCGAAGCCCGTCTCAGCAGTTTAAGTGGTGTTACCCCGTGCGCGCCGCATTTCCTAGCATGTCTCAGCAATGGCTTCAAGCTGTCCTCCGTCGGTTTAATATTCCGAGGGGCGATCTCAATGCAATTTAAGCTCTCGCGACTGACCCAGTCGGTTTCTTGAAGGTTTGGTCAGACAGGCGTCGGTTTTTCCGATGTCCCGCGGGGTCCCCCAAGGTTGCCCTCTGAGTGGCACCCTACGGGCTGTGGGTATGGATCCAACATGCCGTCACTTAGCCGCTGCCTGCGAGACGGGAAGCGCACAGCTTGCCACCCCGACGCCGCCTCGGGGATCCCGAGAGGAGCGGCTCGAGCGGGTTGTCCTTCCTCCTCCTCTCTTTCTCTCTGTTGGTGCGTGTGGCGACGATGGGGGTTCCCTCCCTAACCTTTCTCTCCTCCCACTGCTCCACCCCCCGTTGAAGTCGGCCTCCGACCTGGCCTGCGTGGACCTTCAGCCCAGGAAACGTTGTTTCGTGCCGATTTGGAAGATTCTTGACGGCGAGGAGAGAGATAACTACGCTTCGCAGTGCCATTCGGACGCTGTGTCCTCCCTGGGTTTGGCCCTGGCCCTGGAGCTACCCTTGAGTACACACTCGCGTCTGCCAGCCAGAAGTGGCGGTCCCGATGTCGGCTCGTCGCAGGCACGCGAGCGCCAAGTTATGCAATCATTAAATCGTGCTGCGTGCTCATCCTTCCTTGCCACTCTTACGCTGCCCAGTTCTACCCTGTCCCTGCCCGTCCGCTGCAGCGTGAAGGACACGCTCTCCATGAACTCCTGCGCCTCCCACCATCCAGCTTCTCTCTGCCTGAGTTGCATTCTCTGCGCTTGGCTGAGAGCTCTTGAGCCGCCCAAAACTATGGGGCTTTCGTGTGTGTGTGGATGGTGGCGGGTCGGACGTTCAAGAATTGGGCCAAGGCTCTCGAGCGAATTCACGACCGTGCCCGCAGCGAGGGCGGGTTCCCGCGCGCGCGCTGGCAGTGAAATGGGGCGCGGCCTGTTGGCAGATCCTTTCTTCCATCGCGCAATGTTTCCCTCGTTTCTTTCCGCCCCCCCCCGTTTTTTGACCGTGGTCCTCTGACATCCCTCCCTTTTCCCGCTCCCGTCTTGCGCAAAGCTACTCACGTTGCTGAAACGGAAGCTCAGAACGCGATGGACCACAAGACGCTTCCGCGGTTCCAGCTGCGTTATTCGATGAGCATGTAAGTCCGTATTGCTCCAGACAGCATTCTAATGTTCGTTTCACGTCGGTTCAGGAACATGTTCCCCGAATTCCCAGTTTTAGCACACCCGGTCCTTGGGTCCCGCTGGAGGCGTCTTCGGGGATTGCTTCCTCGTCAGGTGCCGAGTCTTTTGTGGCCTCACGTCAAAACTCTGGCGGGCGCGTGGCTAACTTCGGCGCGCGTGAAGATATTGCCGCAATGTCGTTGCCGCTTCGGTTGTGAAGCCCCCGACGCGCTGCACCAGTACAACATGTGCCGTCCGCTGTGGGAGGCAGCCAGGCTCCAACCCGAGTTCCCGCACTTGTCTGAGCCCCCTCTGGTGCGTCTTGGGTTTGGTGCTGAGGTTGACTACGCGGGTGTGGAGAATAGCCGTCTCGCGTACCACCGTCGGGTGGTGTACGCCTTTCACATATACCACGAGCTCCGTCCCCTGTTTGCGCAGCATGGGACGGCGAGCCGTATCCATATCCGCCAAGCACGCATCGCTGCGCGGGCGGCGCTCTCCATTTACCATCAAAACAGAGAGGGAAGGTACGTGCGTTCCTCCTCGTCCTCCTCCTCGTCCTCCTCCTCCTCTTCCTCCTCCTCGTTCTCCTTCCCCTCGAGGCACGCTCCATCCCCTTCCCCCCCTCCTCCTGTCTATGGTGGCGGATGGGCAAAAAGCGAATTTCCTACGTGGCGGCGGCTATTCTGTGGCCCGCGCGTTGAGGAAGAGCCATGGCGCCGCCCGACCTCCAAAGATGTCAGAGGTCGTCCCAGCACGGGAGAACCCGTATAGAGGTCGGGAGTTGCCGAGAATGCATTGGATTTGACACTGGCCAGGTCCTTTCTGGATCCTGGACGGGTGTTCAAGGTCTGGTCGATGCCTCGGGTGCCCCAGCGCGTGATCGTCACGTGACGTTCGTTGTCTGAGGAGGGACATGGGGGGTGACCGCTACAAGTAGCCGGGATGGGGGGGACTAGAGGGCGACGATCAGCCCAATCGGGGTCCTCACACCACGGTGGCCACAGGGCGATCCTCAGACCTCGTCCTTGAAGACAGCTCAGGAATCGTCGGTCGTGGATGTGGCAAAACAGAATAGAGTACGTGTGTGGCTGCTGAATAAAAGGGTGGCCGCCATGTTGCACAACGAATAGGTAAGTTCACCACATGCTTCTCGCATCAAGCGTGGTTACAGAGCCGTGCCGCTGCTTCACGTCTGGTAGTAAAGATGGCATTCGAATCCCTTCTGGCTACTATGGTAAACATTCCAGGGCCTCAACATTGGACATGTGTTTCAGCCTTCTGGTTAGGGGTGCCAGTTGGAAATCCGAAATGTTCATTATTGGTGTCTCGGATTCTACTCCAGCCAGGGCGTTTTCTACATTGAGACTTCGGAGCCACTGGCCTTGTCCTTCAGAACTGCTCCTTCTGAGAGAGGGGAGGATCATCTTCTCGAAGGTGGAGGTGACCCCACCTGACCTGGAGGCTTGCTGGGGGAGGTCATCGAGGCAGCGTGAAGAGGGAGGGATGCCTGGATCGAGTGGAGACGCTCAAGTGTAATGTTTCCTAGCGAGGGTCAGTCATGTTGCTGCGGGCCTACATAGTTCCCTCCAAGTAGAAGTTGGTGGACATCCCACAGCAAAAGCAGCACAAGGCCTTGAACATGTGGCACTGCCGCGAATCTGGCGCCATATTGTGACCTCGAGCCAGCAGCCCCGAACTGGCCCCGTCCAGGGTGCTTCGAAGTTGTGGTCCTCAGCCATGTCTCTTCCCCATCTTCCCATTCCCCTTGCCCGCTCTCGTCCCCTCTCCACTCCTGTTGAGCTTGATTATCGAACATATAGACTTGCCTGTACCACCCGTATTCCCTGTCTCGGCCATGGCTGCGTTCTCCTTGCTTGAATGTACGCAGCTTTGTCTTGCCATCAGCATTGCGCTCGGACGCACTGATGCTGCGATGCATGGAGCTGTCGCTACGCTTCGGCTTCGATGTCTGGACCCTCCGCCAGGAGGAAGGAGGATGGGGAACCGTGAGCGTGAGCAGCTCGCATCAAGTCACATCACACTGCACGATGCATGTCCAGGCGCAGCTTGCCTGGACCGTGCAGATTTTCCAGGGCGTCCGAGTAGTGTTTGGTGAAGTTGCGCTGCACGCAATTAATTACATAAGATGCGTCGGGTACTCTTCGGTCCGCACTCTTGCTTGGAATTGCGCAGATTGCTTCAGTCGAGGCTGTCTGGGTCGCGATCGCCAATGAACACCCTCTTCAACAGAATCAGCATGCTGGTCCCGAGCAAAAAGTGGTTGTGGCTCAGTTGAATTGCCATGTCCGTCGCAGAGGCATCCCACCCTTTTTGAAAGCATTGGTGTACGGCGCGGCACGGATGGGTTGAACAGCTCAGGGGTCCAGTGCTAAGCCACGGGAAGGCGATGGAGGGATGAAGGCAGGGGGCTGGAAGACCGCAAGGAGGCAAAGTGGAGGTACAGGGATTGCTTGCGGCTCGTCCTCGTCCCTCTCTTCCACTCGCTCTGCTTCCTCTTCATCCGTCCCTCCTGCCTCTCTCTCTCTCTCTCTCTCTCCCCTCTCGTGTCTCTCTCCCTCCTCTCCCTCTCTTTCCCCCCCTCCCCCCCTTACCCCTCCCCCCTCGCATCCCCCTGGAGGTGCAGCTCTCCTGTACCTCCAGCTTCTCGCAGGCCAGCCCCAGCCGCGCGGGAGCGCCTCGCCGGAGCCGACGATGACGCGGGTCCCTCCTCCCTCTCCCGTCCTTTCCTTTTTTACCCTCCCTCGACCACTCAATGGGGCACATGGGAAGGACTACAACAAAACGAAACGTTTATCGAGTTGATTAGCGACGTGCGACAGGATTGTCAGCCGCGCCGCAAACAAAACAACATGAGGAAGTGCACAAAGGGAAAGTCCAATGGGACCCAGTGGGATTCACGGCGGGGACTGGAGATTACCACCAGCGCCAAAGGCCGCACGAGCACAACATCTTCAAGTTTTGTGGGCGTGGAGAATGCGTGCACATCTTCCGATATGTCCGCCATTACGCCTACATGTATGTATGCTGGTGCCTCTACGGGTATGGACAAAGACACCACTACAGACAGCAGTCCCACCCAAGGTGCGTGACTCCACTCCAGCTCCCACCCCGATTCTCGCAAATCCAACGCTTGTCCTCTGGGGTCATCAGATTTCGAATTCGACTCCCAGCTTTCACTGCAAGCTTCCAGCCTCCAACCTAACATATACAGCTTTACATATTCCACCTGCCAACCTCCAGCCCTAAGCGATTCACCTCCAGCCTCAGGCTCCCGACTCCCAGCTTCCACCTTCACTTGTCGACTTCGCATCTTACACACGCAGCCTCCAGGATCAATTATCTATGTCCCTAGATGTATATTCCAACTCTCAGCTTCTATATCCAGCCTTTGACGGTAAGTTTCACACGTTGTTCGACCTTTCAAGCCCGACCTCCAACCCCAGCCATCGATGCTCTAGGCTTTGGCTTCGACTCACAGCTCCCACCTTCGGTTGTCGACCTCTTATCTTCCACGCGCAAGCCCTGGCCTCCCATTTCCGACCTTCATTCTGGATACATTGATTGCCAGTTTACAGCTTCCGACTCTGAGTTTCCATCTGCAGATTTCCACCCCGCGGGTTCCAGACACTTTTGAGAGCCGCGGGGGGGCCAGGGGAGAAGAAGGAGGAAGAGGAGGAGGAGGAGGACGAGGAGGTACACCGCTGTTGGGGCCCTCGTGGGACGCTCTTAGGGCGCTCTTGGACACTCTTGGGCCGTCTTGGGGCCCTCTTGGTGGCCTCTTGGGGCTTTCTTGGGCTCTTGGGTCCCTGTTGGGGCTCTCTTGGAGCCCTCTTGGGAGCCCTCGGGGTTCTTGAGGCCATCTTGGAGGCTATCGATCAAAGGAGGGGGAGGTCCAACGTTAGTCCCACCCCTGGAGCCATCAAAATCGCCTCTTGGGGCCCTCTTTGGTCGCTCTTGGGCGCTCTTGGGGCCGTCCGCGGAGCCTGTGGGGCTCCTTCTGGGCCTCTCTTGGGCCATCTTGAGGCCTCGAAAGCTCATCGGAAGCGAAAAAGGCGAGAAGTCAAACATCATTGATTTCCCTTAGTTGTTCGAATGATTTTGGCCTCTTGTGCGGGTCCTGAGGGGGCTCCGAGAGCACTTGGAGCCGTTTTGTGGCCCTCGTCGGGCCTCTTGGAGGTATGTTGGAAGTTATCTTGAACCATCTTCGACCGCCTTGGAGGCCATCTTGGAGCACCGGAGGCTGTCTTGGAGCCATCTTGTGCGCTCTAACCCCTCCGCCCCCCCCGTCCAGATCCAGGGACGGGGGAGGTTAACCTCCCCGAAGGGAAGAGGGTCTTGGAAGAGGAAAGAAATAGCTCCTTGGACCACCTGAGCTAAAAGGGCTGGTGGGATTATGTGGGCCGATGTGGACATCGACCCCAGATGGGCCCCGATGCACGACGATGCTCAGTCAGAGCCCGCGGGTGTGGAATTGCGTGCTGGGACATTGGCTTGACGGGTCGTCGACAGCATGTGTGCCTTTCTCATACCATTCAGATCGTCATGTTCAGGCCCGCGACATCATGACAATTATCGCGACGCCGGGTGTCCCGTCCTTTCTGCCCTAGGCCAGATGCTTTCACGACACCCAGTGTCAGGGATGCTGGTATCCCTCTTCTCTCTTTCCTACCGTTCCCGTTCTCGCCCCGCCTCCGTTCTCCCGCCCCCCCTCCCTCGTGATGGGTCGCGACTCGTGCAGCTGGTCTTTTCCCAGCGACCATCAGCCACGCGGGGCGGGCAGGAGGCGGCTGCGGAACCCGGAGGCTCGGCGTGACTCCGCTTCTTCCGTGCGGCGCTGCGTCCGTCCCCCCCCGTCCCCTTCCACCAGAGGCAGGACCCCCTTGCCCAAGCCTCCCTCCGCAGCTGTCCAACTCAGAGTCCCAGCTCACTGAATGCTGCTTTGCTTCGAAAGTCCGGCAGTCTGGAGGTAATCGGCGCAGGACTCCAGAAGGCCATGTTCTTCCTTCGTTCGTTCCTTTATTTCTCTTTTTTTTTTTTTGCTCTCTCTCTCTCTCTCTGTCTTCCTGTCTTCCTGTGGGTCTGTCCATCCGTCTGTTTTCTCTATCTCTCGCCCTCCAGTTTCCCCCTCCTCCGCCTGATGAGGGCAAGTGGCAGAGAAGAAGTGGCCGCCAGGTGGTGCTGTCCAGCTTGGTGAGCCTGTTCCAGGCCCGCCAGCTAGGAAATTGATGTCTGGCGGGCCCATGGACGATTTCTAAGCGTTGCACCCTCCCCCCCTGCCCCTCCCGTCTCCATCCCTCATGCACCACCCTTCCTCCACTCCCTACTCTCCTGTCTCTCTTCTGCTCACCTCCCCAAACCTCAATGTTTCTTCTCCCTCCCTACCCCTGTACCTTACCGTCGCACTTCTCCCCCTCCCCTTTCTTTACCCTCCTGGTGCGCTCCTACCCTGGCAATATTTCTCGAACCTCGGGTATGCGCAGCGCTCTCTGCGGTAATATGATTAAGTGACGTCGGCGCAGACGGTCCGCGCTACGCTCCCGGCTGAAAGAGTCCCTGCCACTTCGCAGCAGGAGGTTGAGCATGAGGAAGCAGGGAGGAGCAGAAGGCGAAATGGGTACGAGAAACAATGTTGTGGAACACATAACGGGCAGAGCACGAAACCATAACGACGTTCAATATTCGGGCGTACCGCAAAGGCTTCCAGGAATGGCTGCACGATGCTTTCATCCCTTGATCGTCCTCTGTTCACCATCATTTTTCCCAGAGAGGGTGCGGGCCCAAAGTTCTCTTTTGGGTGTTTGTACTGGTACTGGCCCCTCGACTCCGCAGGGCCAGTTAATTATTGCTTCTCCCACTATCGAACGAATTGATGGCGAAGACCTTAGGTCAGTGCCGCCGACCCTGAAGGAGGACGACGTCTACGGCGGCGGCGGCAGGGGCGACGACGACGCTGACGTGGGTCAGAGTCCTCAGGGATGATTCTTGGGATCTCTTCGGAACGCTCTCGGAGGCCTCGGGGCTCTGGGAGCAGTTCGGGGGGCTCTTGGGAGCCACGTCTTGGGGGCCTCTTGGGCCGTCTTGGGCCTCTCTTGGGTCCTTTTGGGGCTTTCGGAGGCCTCTTGGGACGTCTTGGGGCGATCTCTTGGGCCGCTTAGGCCGTCTTGGAGCGTCGAGAAGCCGAAAAGGCGAGAATTACGAGACTTGTCAAAAACCTTAGGAAATGAAGAAGGTTTGGCTCGTGGGGCCTCTTGGGAGTGCTCTTGGAGTTCATTGGGGCGTCTTGGAGGCCTCTTGGGCCGTCTGGAGGCTATCTTGGGCGTCTTGGACCGATCCTTCGGCGATGCGTGGCCCTCTTGGACAGTCTTGGCGGCCTCTTGGGGCACGCTTGGCCCGTCTTGGGGCCTTGTTGAGCTCCGGGCCTCCCCGGGGGGATGCTGTTCTGACCCGTGACCCCTCCCAGGTCTGACCTGGGAGCCCCCCCCTCGGTCTGACCTGGAACACCTCCAAGACCTCCCCTGGCAAAGGAAGGGATCAACGGGACGGAGCTTCCCTTCGACTCACTTGCGATGTTTCTGAATTTCGCTTTGGCTGGCGCGCTTCAGGAGGAGGGCCCAGGGAAAGGGGGGAGCGGCGATGGCGGCGGCGGCGGCGGCGTCTGCGACGACGACGACGATTCAAACGGTAAAGCCTCTCGCACACGCCGACAGGGTTGGCGGATTCATTGAGGATTCACAGGCGAAGCGCTTGTTTTACATGGTTTGCTGAGGATGTCTCAGGCGAAACACTTGTTTCGCAGAGTTTGAGGACGTCTCGAGCGAAACGCTTGTTTTGCAGAATCCGTTGAGGACGCCGCGAACGAAACGCTTGTTTTCACGTGTCCAGCTCGCCCAGGCGGATATCTAACATGAGGTCGTTGGTCTCTTCGCACGTCGAAGTGCGTGTGCGGAGGGGGTATCTAACATGCGCCAGGCGCCCGTGAATTTAGCACGTGCTTTCAGTGTTTATGCCACCTGGGGGGGTTCTAACATGCGGTCGCCGGATTTTATGCATGAGTCATTTGCGACCATGTCTCGGGCCAGGACCTCGTCCGAGAGTGACATGCGAGGAAATTTTGAGCTGGGGGGGAGGAGGAGAAGGAGGAGCTGAAACCGCGCGTGGCGGGAAGCGTCTTCCAGGAACGAGAGGCGAGCTGGACGTTCTGGCTGAATCATCAGAAGTCTTTGTCTATATACCGTGGCCGATCGCAAGAGGGGAAGGCTTGACGGATGATAAGAAGCGTCTTCGAGGAACGAGAAGCAGCGAGCTGGACGTTCTGGTTGAATCTTTGAAATTCATAAAACTATCGACAGACATACCGTTCAGGATCGCACCGGGTCATTTCCTTGGCGAGCTCCTCTTTTTCCCTACCTAGGCTCTGCCTAGAAGGGTTCTTACTCGCTTGGCTTAAAGGGCCGGGCAGTGTAAATCGCCCCAGGCGGTTCCCCCGGTCCCCTGGGAGCCAAGCAAAAGCAACAGCAAAGGTAAAAGCAAACGCGCGGTTCCCCCTGTTGCGCTCCCTGGGTGCCAAGCAAAAGCAAAAGCAAAGGCAAAAGTGAAGGCAAAAGCGAAGGCAAAGCAAAAGCATAGCACAGCATAGCATAGCATAGCATAGCATAGCGCAGCATAGCATAGCGCAGCATAGCATAGCATAGCATAGCCTAGCCCAGCATAGCATTGCGCAGCATAGCATAGCAGAGCATAGCATAGCAGAGCAGAGCATAGTGCAGCACAGCATCCACAGCATAGCGCAGCACATCATCCACTACTACTACTACTACTACTACTACTACTACTACCACTACTACTACTACTACTACTACTACTACTACTACTACCACTACTACTACTACTACTACTACTACTACTACTACTACTACTACTACTACTACTACTACTACTACTACTACTACTACTACTACTACTACTACTACACTACTACTACTACTACTACTACTACTACTACTACTACTACTACTACTACTACTACTACTACTACTACTACTACTAACTACTACGACTACTACGACTACGACTACGACTACGATACTACTACTACTACTACTACTACTACTACTACTGCTACTACGACTACTACTACTACTACTACTACTACTGCTACTACTTCTTCTTCTTCTACTACTACTACTACTACTACTACTACTACTATCGCTACTGCTACAACTACGACGGTGAGGAGAAGGAGGAGGACGGCGTTTACCGTTCCTACTACTGCTGCTTTCTTAAAGGCTCCAGCTCCTACGTAGGGTCGCACTGGGATAATTAAGCATTTCGCCTGAGACACCCTCACACAAATAAGCTGTTGGCAACATCTTCGTGTACAGCAGCAAGCGGCTCGCTCGATACATCCTCTAACAGCTGGAAGTCGCAAGTTTGGGATATCTCCGAAAATGAGCGTGTCGCCTGAGAATCGTCAAACTAATAGGATGCCGACAGATCTGTTGCACTGCCTCTCATGTTAAATACAAAGCTCTGGCTCGAGACCCACTGGTGCGGCCAGGAACGCAGCCGCGGCCACCTGGCGGCCAGCAAGAGGGCAGGTGCGGTGGTATTCAGCCCCACGTCGTCGCAGCACCTGCCCTCGGCGGCGGCTGGGATGCGCTGAGGGGCGTGCCAGTTCAGGGGGGTGGCGGAGCGCGGCGCGTGGCGGCGGTTGACGCCATCATCAAGAGCAGGGTGGGCGACCTCAACCCGACGGTGAAGGCGCCGACAGCCGCTTTCGCCGAGGCCCTCGCCAGTGGCCTCGCCGCACTGGGCTGCAATGGGAGCGGATGGCGACGCTCCCCGGAGGTGTTGGCGGGCTACGCCCGCTTGGAGGGCGCCTGGCCGCACGTCGTGACCCTCCAGGAAACCAGGCTCCTGGCGCCGAGCAAGATGGTTTCGACATCTGGCGCCGCTGGAGCGCTGGGGCCCCGCGGGCACGCGGCGTTCCACCACGCCGCCAAGACCGCGGCAGGTACGGGGAGCAACTGCACCTCGGGAGGAGTCTCCGTCCTTGTGCGCAAGGGTTTGGCTGCGAGGGAGGTGCCGTGGACTGTGCCTGCTGGCCTCTCCCACCGCCTGCTGGGGGTGGAGGTGATGGATGATGCATTCGGGCCTGGAGCTCATGGTCGCATCGGCCTACTTCGAGCACGCCATCGGGCCGAGGGCGGGCAACCGGGACCTAATGCGAGCGGTGGCGCAGCGCACAATGGCGGCGGGGCGCGCGCCGTGGCTCTAGAAGGCGGACATCCACATGGAGCCAGCGACCTTGCAGGAGCTCAGCTGGCCAGAGTGCCGCTGCGGGGTGGCCAGCGGACCGTGGGCCCCAACATGCTTCGCTGACAAGCAGTAGAAGGCCTTCGACTGATGCGCTGCGTCGCAGGACCTTGCGCACGCGGCGAACACTCGTCGCCCCGCGCCTGGGCTCGGGCTCCACCCCCCCGCGCCTGTGGAGCTCACCCTCCAGGACGCGAGGCCAGACGCGTTGGTCCAGGTCTTGAGGAAGCCACGGTTTTTCCCGCACTGGGACATTCAGGCGCGCGAGGCCGGGGATGGCGCGCGAGTTGAGGTCTTCCGCCGAGGCAGCCCAGCGGGGCGTTGGCAGCGAGGCCCCCCCCGAGTGGTGCTGGCAGCCAGGCGAGAGGCCTAGCAGTCTGGTGCTCGGGCCGCAGCAGTGGATGTCGGCGGCCGAAGGGGCGCTGATCGGGATCCACGGCCTCGACGAGCAGCGGCGGGGCCAGCGCTGCGACCGAGGAGGCGGGCCCGCCCTCGCCCCCAGGCCGACGCGCCCCGGCGAGGCGCCGACACCGGGTGCTCCGCGCCGCCGTCGCTCACGAGCTGCGCTGCGTGAGCGACCTGGCGCAGCAGCGCGTCAAGGCGCAGGTGGCTGAGAGGCACCTCCCGTCGCGCGAGTGGCGGTGCAGCAGGGGGGCTCGCAGGCGTTGCCAGCGCCTGATCCACGAGCTCGCGACTGCTGCCAGTGGCGGACACGGCTTCGACATTGGCGGCGATTGGGAAGAGCTGATCCGCGACGCGTGCTTTCGGGGCGTCGCGGAGGCCGCCATTGCGCCGCGTGGGCGGCCGGCTGCGGCGCACCGCCGCGACGACAGCAGGTCGCAGGCCGAATGGAGAGAGTGGGCGGATGCAGCGGCCCAGCGGGCCGGGCG